AGTATATTTTCCTGGCAAATGTGGGTTTGGCGTTCAAAGTCGACCCCCGTCGCTTCGAAAAGGGAAAAAAATCGTTCCGAATTTTAAGTCTGCGCGTGTTTAGGAAGACACATACAAGTACCCAGGAATGCTTAATTTACTTGATTGTTTTTCTCGGAGATGGATAAGTGCAAGCAACCCTCACCCCTCCCTCCCTCCCTCCCTCCCTCCTTTCTTTCTTTCTTTCTTTCTTTCTTTCTTTCTTTCTTTCTTTCTGCGGTTCTTGTCGACGCGCGTACATCGCACGGCTTCCGCACGGCGATTCCCGAGGCGATTGCACATTGTACTTGAGCGGTTTCTTACGCCCCTCCCCACTCCCCGCCCCCTTCCCTTTACCCGACTACTTATTTTTCCCATGTCGGTTTTGAAAGTTTTTCGATTAAGAGTCGTCTCGCGGATGCTGCCGGCGGACTGGCCGCCGACCCACCCTTCCCATCCAGAGAGAGTTGGATGGGATGGATTGAGAGGATGTGGGGGCTCGGATATGGAGACGACATACGACGAGTCGAGATCGTGCTACATCAACTCACTGCAAACCCTTGAGTGAGGGGGAGAATAGTTTTTGAGAGTGAGAAACCTCACTTACATTGGCTGAAGACAGTTCGTAACAAAACTGAGCGAAAAAGTAACCATCCTCTCACAATCAGGAGAGCTAGATTTTCGGGGTCATGCATCACGGACTTATAATTCGGATATCTGACTGAAGTATTACACTGTAAAAACAGTTCCTTGATTTTCAATGACCAAGACACCGATTCAAGGACGCCCCATGTGTTTTTCCCTACCCCCGTCCTAGAATCGGTATTTTAGTCCTTGGATATCAAAAAGGTGTTTTTACCGTGTAGTTCTATGGTATAACGAGGAAAGGCACTCTCTTGTGCCACAGTGAAAAGAAACCAAATCAATCAGTTTGCTATCACAAGAATTCTTTTTATTGTATAATGAACCATATAACCGTGATAAATAAAAAAAACATGTTCTCAGTGAGCGGGACACAATTGTTGTAAAAATACAAAAGGGACCGAGTCGGAGCACGCACAAGAGGGACCAGGAGGGATATCCTTTAAATGATAGTTGATCCCTCTCGTAGTGGGATAACGCATTTTTGTGAACCGAAAAGTAATAATAATGGTCTTGGCACATTTGTGTAGTTAAACCATAAACCATCGGGAAGTCTTGCATAAACAAATTACAAATTACTAATCATGTCGTCCAGAAATTAAAAACAAAAATATCACACAGAAAACAGTTGCAGTGATAAACTATATGGACACTACTCCGTATAATGCTTGCAAATACAACTCAACACAAAAGGTTACGAAGAATTTTACTGGTTTGTACTGCGGAGAACTTACTAACGCTGGCAAACTATTTGTTTGGGGTCGCGAAAAAGAGAAAAGTTCGTGAGACCGCAAAAAGTTTACACAACGATCGTTATTGGCAATACTTATAGTCAGAAAAAATAATTGGTTCAACACAAACTGACATCCTTTGCAAGCATTTTACAGTGAGGTGAACATTGACGAGAACAATATAACACTTGTAAACAGAAAAATACAGTAATTGAGTCAATAACATTTAACCATAACCAACCCCACATTCATTTACACCCCACTTACAATTATCGATCAAACATAATAAAAACACGAGAAAGTAAATCATGGCCGCACATTTCTCGACTTTCCCAGACGACCCGAGACGTATACCCTGAAATCACTCCGTTTGCATTGAGAACGGGATCAGATTTCTGACACGTGAGCGCGCCCACCGCGTTACCGTATAAACTAACAACAAAACATTAACATTCCTCCCGCAAACGCAACCGCCCTTGCCACTTCACAGGGTGTAAAAAATAAGTCACAGATATCGTCATACCGTTATCATTAATAATAATCATAATATATATATTGTCCATATTTAACAATTTATTTCTTTTCCTACGGAGAGGGAAAAAAAAGAGTCCACCTGAAGCACTTCTTTCTTTTCTTTTTTAAATTTGCCGGCATGTCCGGTCCGGCCACCACACTCCGCCTCACTCGCCGGAGTGCGAGAGGGCGTCCGCCGATGTCCATCATCGTCCGCGGGCTCTCACACAGGGCCCTGGCGCTGCCGCCGCCGCTCACAGCGGGCAGTCCAGCACGTCCATGGAGATCCAGACGCTGGCGCCGCGCAGGCGGCCGGCGCCGCTAGAGGGCGCGCGCGGGCATGCCGACGCTGTACACTCAGATGCGAAAGGAAGAGTTGGGCCGCACGTTGGACGAGCAGAAGCTGAGCGCGAAGCAGAGCAGCAGCAGCAGCACGGCCCCCGCCAGCAGGTAGGCCGACCACGACAGCTCGCAGCTCCCTGCACAGACAAGGTAACGCTTCCGGTCACGGATGTGCAAAAACAATTGAGAATAAAATAAGTAAAGTAATTTGACTCGCCCCCCCCCTTTAAAAAATATAAAAAAATTACAGAGACGTTTGGCTTCCAAAAAATCCAAAAATCTCTCCCCTTCTCCCCTCCTTCCCCCCCCCCCCTCTCTCTCTCTCTCTCTCTCTCTCTCTCTCTCTCTCTCTCTCTCTCTCTCTCGGTACCGCGGCACACACGCGGGTGCCTGCGGGCTTGAGGAGGCCGGGTCGGCCCAAGCAGCAGGGTAGGCAACACGCCCAAACTTTTGATTGCAGCAGACTGCCGCTTGGTTTAGCCCGGCAGTCCCGCCCTTTCCCCTTCTCCTGCAGGAGGCCCGCATCGCCAAGTGGCTGTATGTTGTTCTTTGTCGGCATATAATGAAAGTAAGGAGCGAGGAGGGGGGGGGGAGGAAGGCAGAGAGGGGTGAGCGCCTCGCCCGGCCCTTCTGGAGGGACAATCGGCCGCAGTGCTGGAAAACAATTATTTTAAAACGCAACTACAGAATGACGGCCGCACCCTCGGACAAACCAGCAGCCAGAAGCAGCGGCCCCACCCAGGACCCAGGCGCCTGGCGGGTAGGCCGCTGCACTGCACGCGTGCACCGCACCACTCGATGTTGCCTACCCGACAGGCGCTCCCCGAGCGGGGGCTAGGCGAGGGAGCCAAGCCTTCAGTACAACGACTTGTGCCTCTCTCAGCCCCAGCGGTTCTTTAAATTCTCTCTCTGTCCATCTCTTCCTCCCTCTCCCCCTCTCTCCCCTCTCACCGCCATACCGCCAGGCTCTAAGGTGCAGGCAGCTGCTCTCACAGAGCCCCTGGTCCCCCGACTGACCCGCCCGCCTTTAGCCACTCCCGCTTGGCTCGTTGCCTGCCCGAGGGGGCGGCGCCGCCCCCCTCGCCCCCCTCCCCCCACCCGGGACCCCTCTACAATGCGCCTTCTCGCCGAGATGAAGGGCGAGAGAAACAAGAGAAGCCGCGCGCGGCACGGGACTTTTTCACTTTGGAGCGAGCACACCGCGGCCGCGGACCAGCCAACCCACCTAGAAATTTTAAAGCCCCAAAGTTTTCCGGGAAAATCGGAAAATTTTCCAGAAAAAATGATAAAAAATTGAAACATATTTCCAGAAAAATTAGGGGAAAAAATACGCTTCAAAGAAAAAGACTCAAAAAATTACTTGAAAGTTTCCAAACGTAATTTTCTGCTAAATAAAATCCCTAGACCCGCCTCCACTCTCACCGGCGAGGTTGCGACGGCACCGTCTCCCCCTTCCCCGCCCTCCTGTCCTGCGCCCCCTCTAGTCCTAGCTACAGCGCGCCCCCTGCCCCCCTAGAGCTCCCCTATGCCGGGGACAGGCCACTTTCCCGCTTCCGCCCTGTTTCCGCCCGTGTGGTTCCTTAATTGGAACCTCTGGATGGCTCCCGGGGGGGTCTCCGCACCCCTCCCTCCCTCCC